CTATCATTTAACAGTATATACACCTTATATTAGGTGTGGGAAAAATATTTTCTAATGTAACATTATTGCTTTCTTTATTAAAAATTTTTTAAAAAAATGAAAATAATGAGAAAATCGTAATTTACATAAAATTGTTTAGGTTGAGAGGGGGAAAAACTAATATTTATTTATATAAAATAAATAAATATAAAACAAACACATCCTTTGTAAAACAAATTTTAGTTGTATTTAATTTTAAAAAATTTAGTGAGTGAAACACAGTTGTCAAGAATAAAAGATATGATATGATAATCTAACATTTGATAAATATCAACCTAAAACAGTATTTTTTTTGGGTAAATAATTTCAAAATATGTCCTAAATTGATGAATAAAAATCTTCTATGCTGACGTAGTTGATCATAGATATTGTTGAATGTGAATATTGTCAACCTTGACATAAGACTAGAGTTCCCAGGATAGATAGAGAGATTCTATGAATCTTCCATGATTGCTTCTTTAAACTTTACAAACTTCTTGAATGTATGAATAGTCAATATCTCTCGATATCCTGTCCTCTTCAAAACTATCTACATTTCAATGTGAAAATGCCTGTTCCGAATTCCGCTGAAAATCATTGAGTGTAGTTTCTGTTGAGATAACGGAATGCTTGTATTATAGATATTTCGTGGAAAGGGATGGCAAAAGAAAAGGAATCCGACCATGTATGTGTTTATTTTAAAATTTAATAAAATCTCGATGTGTAAAATTAATTTTATACACTATAATTGAATATCTGTAGTTAGATGCTCTTTGAGAAACGAGTGTCACGTGCCAAGTCCCTTTCAAGTAAAAAAGAAATGAAGCAGTGCATGGATGAAACAAAACCTAAAGAAGCAGAAGATACTTATTACACGATGATCACCAAGTAAATTGCTACGAGGCATATAAATGATATATATTATGTAATGTGTTTGTTGAGAATAACTTGATATTTTAAGTGATATAAGGCATAATTTTAAAAGTTAAGTAATAAAATTCGTATAATTGTAAAATATGAATGATAAAATATGTGAAATTAAGAAATATAAGTAAAAAAAGTATAATAATTATTATTTATTTAGATCATGGACATATTTCTACTAATATTATAAGTCTAATTTCTCTAGAGACGCGAAAATCTTCTAAATAAATTTTATCATTCTTAAAAAAATTCCATTGTAACGAATTTCTATGAGCAAGTTCTAAACCACCCAAAATGTAACATTTATTCAAATAAATATCTTAAGAATGAGGGATTACTAGTGAATAAATATCATTGGTTTAATTTATTTTATTTCATAATAATTTAATTTTAAGCATTAAATATATAATTGCTTTTAAATTTTACATCTATCATATAAAATGACATATTAGTATATATAAGTGCAAATGAATCTTTATTTAAAAGTTAGTTTTTTTTTATGTTAAATAACGATCATATATAATTCATTTATTTAGAATAACATTAGAGTTTATTTTGATTAGTGTTGTTAGACGACTTATGAAATTATTTGTTATTAACTTGTTATTGTATCATTAACCGATATTCTTATTTCACAAATTTCATGTTTCAAATGAAATGTTCAATTCTCAATATAAGAAAAGTGTATTAAGAAAAATGTGTTAGAGATATTACATAAAAAAGAGAAATAATAATTATATTAATTAGTGTATATAAATAGAGAATAATTTTTTATATTATATATTTTTTGTTATAAGAGATTTGTAAAGACAGGTGAGTAGAAAGAAACAGAGAGAAGATGAATAGGAGAGGGAGTTGGGAGTTGCAGGTAGGGATTCCTGAAAAACACTGGTGTTAGTCAAAAGAGGCCCACTGACAGTTTCCTTTATTTCCATGTTTGTCATGGACATACATGATCATCGTGGTCTATGGTTTTGGGTTAATTAATTAAATTAGTAGGATTCGGTCCCAATCTTCTTAAGGAAAAAAGCCGCAATTAAATGGTCTCCTTGGGCCCTATTCTGCACTCTTTCACCTTTCTGCTTTCCATAAGTCACTGTCACACTCACTGCACTGCTTTGCTTTGTGTTATCCAAACTCAGATTCAAAGAAGCCAATTACCAAGTACCAACAGTTTTTTTTAGATAACTATCACAATAGAACATACAAATGCTATTTTATTTATTTAACTTATATATGTATAATTTGATTATAAATGATCGAATATGAATTATAAATTGTTTGACCGAATCAGAAATTAAATACAGGAAAAATTAATAATATAAATAAAAAATAGAGTAAAGAGTATTTTTTTTATGGATAGATAAAAATAAGTAGAAAAAAATTTATCTTTTTGTTTGGATAAGTAGAATAGAAAGTAGAAATAAAAAAATAACTTGTATAAAATTGTGTTTATATTATTTAAGAAATTATATTGAATTCGAAAAATTAATCTTTCTACTCTATTATTTTCTCTTAACATAAAGTTACTTTTTTTGTAATTTTTTTCATGAAAAATTATTTAATTTTTTAAAAAGCAAAATAAAAATGAGAAAGAGAGTCCTTCTCCAATTTTCATGCCAATTTGGCAGGAAATTTTTTTTTCCTCGTGGATCACACGGGAATTTTTTGCCTTTCGAAATACATAATGCACATGATTTTTTTTAAAATTTCTTCTCCTCCCTTTTCATTTCTTTCCAAAATTTTTATCAAAATAAAACAACGGGTTAAAGTATATGAAATATTATTGAACACTGTCTTTGTTTTGGGTCAAAACAAGGGAAAAAACAGCTTTCTTTTTTTAATAACAAGATTACAATCCCACATATTTAAAACAACACAGCAAGATTCTCATGACATAGAGGAAGGAGATATTTTCTCTTTTCCTTGAACATCGGTTAGTGTTTGCCAATATATAGTTAAAACAACCACGCAATAAAGTCTTGAAAAATAAAGTTTATCAAGTTACATTATCGTTAACCTTTTAAATATTTTCTGTTTGAAAAGAAAATAAATAAATAAATAAAATAAGTAAATTGAGTAAAAAATTCTTCTCTAGTATTTATTTGAGTAAAAAAGAGAATAAAAAATAAACAATTTATATATAAATATTTGTTTATCCTTTATAAAAACAATTGTTAAAAAATGTATAGAAACTTATATTCATAATATTTCTTGTTCTTATACTCAAAATATATCAATAACTTTCTCATTTAAGAAAACTCTCTCATCTCTATATTTTTTACTTTACCAAAAAATTATGCATTTCATTTTTTTTTTGTGGAAATTTGATTTTTTGTTCTGTCCATGAGTTCATCTACCTTATTTCTTTTCACCAACAGAAAAATGATTTAAAATTGCAGCTTTTTGAAAAAACAGTGATGTCGTTAAACGTAAAGTTAAGAATTAGTAATAAAGAACCAAACATATTATCTCGTACTTTGTAAGGTCAAATTGTAACGTTCCATTAATGGAATTGAAGAGACACAACTAGAAGCTGCTTGGACCCAAATTCATTAAAATAAGTGAAAATATTAAACTAATTGTTTTGAGAAGGGCCCACTAAGAAACTAAAATATTGTGGGAGCCCATTGGGAAGGGTTTGCTTCGGATCAGGAAAGTTAAGACAAATGCACGTAATCTACGCGTTTCCGCGGAAATGAACGCCCACCCATTCTGTCTCTCTCACTCTCACTTTCACTTTTTTTATTTCTTCTTCATACTATTACTCCCTCTCTTTTCAATCCAAAATCTAATAATTAATGTATTTATTTATTAATATTTTTTTATCATATATTATTAAATCTTTATTTTTAAATAAAAATTTATTGGATTAGACCATAATATATAAAGGGTGTAACTAAGAAAATAATGACGAATATTATTTTAAAATTTTAAAACAATAAATGAATAAAATATATTTTTTCATAAGTGACTGTTGAAATAGTCAAGGTATTATTATATAATACTACTAGTATTGGAAAATGAAAGAACGGTTATTAACTGTCAACCGTGTTTTGGAAGCGTGGCGGTGTCATCCAGAAAAGAAGCACAAGTCAAACTTTTCCATCTTTTTCTTTGTTTCATTCGTCAGTTACTTTCTTTTTTCTCTTTTGTTTGAACTTATGCCCCAGTCTAAGGAATTGACCTTTCTTTTTCCCATTTTTTGGGCTTGTATTTTGGGCCAATCCTACAGAATTTACGCGTGATTCTGGATTCAGAACCTAAAATCTGATTTTATTTATGATATTCTTTGTAAAACTTAATTACTTAAATTTTTCATAGGTTATCTACACATTTTTACTAAAGTTCTACCGTATGCTCATTATTTCATTTTCCTATGGAAGCTACACTGTTAGGGGATGAACTAGTTGTCAGTTTATTTATCCACTAAAAGAATCAGTAAAAGTATTTCGTCAACAAATTAATCAGTATGTTAGCTTGAGCCTTGAGGTGAACTGTTTTAAATAATTATAATTTTCTTAAACCGAATATATTTAGTTAGAAATTGAAAAGAAGAAAAAAAAAGCCGCTGGCACCTTACATGCATGGACATGGGGTACCAGAAATAGCAATAATAAAATTAGATGTCACTATTTATAAACACGTGCTTGTGTTGTGAAGTTTATACACGATGGAAACATCATCTCCCTACACATATCCAGCTTGTGAAAACATCTGATGCAATAAAATAATGACACTTAACTTCCCTCCTTTAGATCATAGTCTAACCGAAAGGCCCAAAAGCCTAGATCCAAAGAATGTTAAGCCCAAGACTTTGAATATCCGAGACACGCTCTTTCTCTTCAGCTTCCCCTTTCCTTTTCAGTCAAACAAACCTCCCTTATCCAAATTGAAAATCTAGAAATTCCCATCTTAGGAAACAAAGGCACACGTGTCAGAAGCAGAGTTGCCGGCAAATCAAGTCCCTACCCATGCGCCACTTTCAATTTCTTAACCATAGTCCATACCGTGGGACAAAACACCATAATCCAAATGGCTGAGCCTAATTCAACCATAGCTGGACACTCATCACACACTGATTTTGCGAATTTCCTTGAAACACCCTTCAAACTCGAACTATATATAAACCCATTCCAAATCCTTTCAACTCTCACTTTCCCTCTCAAACACAAAACAACGTTAGTAACTGCAACTAACTAGTGACTAACTACCAACCAACTACCTCTTTCGCAACTCAAAAGAAAAACTTCAAAGAACCCAACTTTATGTTTTCCATCAATCGTTTCTCCGACCCACATGGGAACTCGCCGGGGGCGGGAGGCTCCCGGCCGTCGACGGCGGCGCTGTCGGATGAGGAGGTGTTTCTGGCGGCGAGCCACCCCAAGAAGCGCGCCGGGAGGAAGAAGTTCCGGGAGACGCGGCACCCGGTGTACCGCGGCGTGAGGAGAAGGGACTCCGGCAAGTGGGTGTGCGAGGTGCGTGAGCCCAACAAGAAGACAAGGATTTGGCTCGGGACCTTCCCCACGGCGGAGATGGCGGCGCGTGCGCACGACGTCGCCGCGATCGCGCTCCGGGGGAGGTCTGCCTGCCTCAATTTCGCCGACTCCGCGTGGCGGTTGCCGGTCCCGGCCACGGCGGAGGCCAGGGACATCCAGAAGGCGGCGGCGGAAGCGGCGGAGGCGTTTCGGCCCGGGGTGGAGTCGGAGATTAAGGAGGATGTGGCAGCGGAGGCGACGGAGCATGAAGAAGAAGAAGAAGAGGCGGTGCCGGAGTTTCTAAGGAACATGGTGCTGATGTCACCGACGCATTGCGTGGGGAGTGAGAATGGATATGCTGACGTGGAATTCGACGATGCTGAAGTTTCTCTGTGGAGTTACTCCTTTTAATTCAACATAACTCGATTGGTTTTTGATATTTTGGGGAATGGAATTGTTTGCGTGGGACTTGTAGAATAGTGTCCGTACTTATACTTTTTTTTACTAGTACGGATGCTTGTTTTAGGTGTCCATAACATACTAGATCAGAAACAAACAACTATAAAATGTTATAGATCACAAAGATGTTACAGGATTTTTTTTTTCTTTTTTTTTTGTATATAGTTGATATTTCAAAATAAAGAATTGTATTTTTTTTATTAATTACTTTTCTCAATGTAATTATGCATGTACAGTATATGAGATATTGTATAGAGAGAAATGTAAATGTAATTAACAATATAATGTAATAAGAGGAGAGATATACAGAGCAATTAAGAGTATTAAGATATTTTCATTTTAATAAATGTACATGTATCGTTTCTATGTATTAATTTCTGACTTATTTGATTATCTTACATATTTATTTGATTAAAATAGTCATATAATAGAGGAGTTTATTCCATTAATTATAGCATATTTTAGCAACATATTTTTAAACAGTACTTGTAACTTATTTTTCAAATTGTGAATGAAAGAAAAAATTATCATCCTGTTTGTAATTATCTAAAATTATATAATTTTCTAATTCTAAATTATAATTAAGTAATTAAACATTTTTTAATGTCATTTTATATTTATTTTTCTACAAAATTTTATATTTATTATTTATTGACTAATTTTGTTGTTCTACTAAATACATTTACTTTAATTAATTAAACAACTTTGATGCTGACGTAAAGGATGTATAGAATATTCACTTTTCATGTAGCAAGAATATGATCTAAAGTTTAATATAAAAATTATCAATCTTTTTGTTTGAAATTTTATCAATTTTTAGCGTTGAAGTAGAAAATAAATAGATTATATTTGGCATTATCTTAATAGTTTTTATTTTATCTGCACGATACTATTTATCAACAGTGATCGACAACGTAATTGACAATTAAATAATCAAATTAAAGTACATTTTCCGTTCCGTCAATAACTTTATCGGTGTTATCTTGTAAGGGTTCTGTTTGAATAACACCAATTTCAAATTTTTCGAACTCAACGATTTACGTTGGAGTGCTTTGTCAACCATAAAAGAGAAGTTGGCAAAAGTCTTTGTGTTTGGATAACCTTTCGATATCCGTTGAAGGAACTTTTTTTTCACTTTTATATAAAAAAAACCAAAATAAGTGGTGTATTACTTTTCAGTTATATTTAATGTAATTCTAAAACAAACACTCATAAAACAAACACATCTTTAGTCATAACTAAAGGGTGAACTAACAAATTCCGTAGCTAAAAATAATAAAAAATTGTATTAATTTAGGAAAATTAATATTTAAAACGAGACAGTCGATATAGTTTGGCTATAACCAAGCTCGAATTGTAACTGAAGATGCATAATGTAAATATGTAATAAAAAAATTGATAGATCAAGTTCATACTTAGAAGCCAGCCGTTTCCTCAAGCAATTTGGGGCATCTAGCTTCTCTTGGTTCTTTGCTCTAATATTTGGCATTTGGCAAAATCTTTTCTTCATACTTGGAGCATTCATAATCATCTCTAGTCTTTTTATTTGTCTGCATAGAAAGAAACTCCAGTCTTTTTAGTTGAAAGTGATTAATAGGAAGAAAAAAATAGACTATAAAGTTTTTAAATAAATAAAATCATGTGTATTCAAATATTTTGCAACGAGGTCGATATTAGTCGGAATGCAAAATGACATTCGTTACTTGCAGCATGATACTTTTAAGACTTTAACAACAACATTAGTCATGTCTCAGTGAGTGAAGTTGACTACATAATAGACTACACAACACAACGGCTAAAACCAAAATTTTGGGGAATTTTGTTCATGATGAAATCCCTTTTAATAATTTCCTTCAATGTTTGTTTTGGCCTCCTACCCCTTTCCATTGATACCTTAAGACTTGCCATGCTAAAATGTAATCTAAAAATATAATAGGAGATAACATACTTCTTCAACTCACCTATCTTTTCTTGATCTTCCCTAGCTCTGCTTCTGCACAATTTGTTCCTTGAAACTCTATATAAACAGCATCATTTTCAGTGATTACCTGTGATCATTTCCAGATATTAGACAAAACACAGCAGAAAACCAGAGACTTGTACACAAGCAAATGTTGCTTCCGCATACCTGTCATATCTTTCTTACAGTAGATTCAATAAGAACCATCTCATTCTCCACCCTTTCATTATTCCAACCCCGATGAATAAAAACCCCCATTATTGACAAGCCATCGCATGTTGAATCATAAAACCATGGGATGTACTCATGTACCATAATAAGCTGCGTCATGGCTGACACTTTAAACAGACAAAAGACCCGACTGTTACAGATTATGAAGAGCAAAACTAACCTCTATAGCTGATGGATAATCACATATGATAGATCCTGTTCTCTTAAATTCCCTGGGTGAATGAAGGGGCTTCCATAATTCTTCCATGACAAAGGCATAAAGGGATGAAGCAATCGCAGGCCATTGTCCACACTAAACCACAAGGTATCTTGTCCAAAGCGTCTTTCGGAAGCAAACTTAGGATCATTATCAGTAAAGTAAGGCTTAATAACTTTGATAAATACATCACACAATTGAAACTGCCATCAAGAATACGCTGTAACAATAGCTTGTGAGAAATCAAATGATTCTAGAGACTTCATTGTTTTATATATGGTTTTATTTAACACTGAGAGTATCCACTGGCAGCAAAATAGGAGAACATCTGGAATCAAATTTCAGGAGAATATAATCATCCCAGGCTTGCTCATTGCAAATAGTACTGCATTCCACGGTTTTTTATTTTTATTTTTATTTTTTTTATTGATAAGCAAACTGCATTCCACGGTTTATTACACCATTGGTGATACCCAGCCACCGTTTGAATATCTTGGTTAATTTTGACAGAATGAAATGAATAAAAACAGCAGAATTCAATCAACAAGAATTCACTAAATTGGTGAAAAATTCAGCTGTGTTAAGGTCCAATGTGTAATCAGGCCATCCCAGTACAGATAATGGGAACACAACAGAAGAAAACTATGCATCAAGAAGGTCAGGATCCCGGCTTAAATGAAACTTCTTTCCGTTATACCTCTGGCTAACCTCTTTTTGGGCTTCCTGGCCACTGCGCAATGATAGTCACAAGCACCAAATTCGTGCAGCATGTCATCCTCTAAAGTGAGGTACATGCAGGTATTCGGTGACCTCACCAAAGCTGTCATGAAATGCACCAATCCTGTATGTTTTCTAGTCATCTGTAAAACATTTTTACCTTGAGCAAGACATGGTTATATCATAGGCTTAGAAGAACAATCAAGGCACATGAGAAGAAAATTAGATAGAGAGCACGCCAACTAGCCAAGTTCCAACTAAAAGATTGTACCAATGTAATTTAATGTAAACCTAACCACTGATTCCATTTAAAATAACGACATCCTTCAACAATTTGCTTCAGTTTTCTCCTATACTTGCTTGAGTGTAAAAAATGGAAGGAGTTCAAATTAAAGGATTCTGGTAGAGACGTCGCAAGAGAGAACTTCAAATAATAGAACATAATGTTAATATACGGTGTGTAATGACGTGTTAAAAAATACTATTGATTAATTATTTAACTTATACTAAAACTAAACTATTGAGTTTTATTAAATAAGAAAAAGAAATTATGAAATATGGAAATCACTCCTAAGAGATCACCTAAGATAATAAAAAATATTCTTAGGTACAATAATGATTGAGATATTCTCTACATATTCTAATAGGAAAGCAGTGACAATGAATTAAGTTGATTATATTTCTCAACACTTAATCTGCCTCAGTTTCAGTCTTGAGAATGAGATAGAGCTCTGCCAAGCAAGGCCAAACTCGATCTCAAAACATTTCTCTCACTAATCATTAAAACGATAGTAATACTATTACTTTACAAGATTTAGAGATGCTAAATTGACGCTAAGGGATGAAGGTCCTTGCCTTGCATTTAGTTTAAATCCTACACCGTTTCAAAGGACCACTCTGCAGGGTGAATTTTACACTTACTACAAGAATTTGTAAAAAGCAAACAAAGAAGTTATAAGCACCTCTTCCAATCAGCCAAATATTGTTTTGGAATAATCTCTAGCCGAATCATTGCCACTGACGAACCACCAGAGCTTTATTATGGGCTCCACAACATCGTTGCTTCTTCAACAAACACCAAGGCACATCTCATTGTTTTCAGATCCTCTATAAAGGCACTATATAAAATAAGAAAACAAATGAAACAAGAAATACCTAAAATTTTGTTTTTCATCACATACATAAATTATTGCTAGAGATAAATACTTGTAAAAGGTACTACCTCTTGCAGGACTATATAAGGTAATAATGATAGCTAAAACAATATCATAGCAACATACTAAAAATAGTGATATAAATTGTAATTTTCCCTTCCATCGCCAGAGAAGATCATTAGTCAGGTTCCACAAAAATACAAGTGTAATTTCCAACAAAAGTATTGTCACCTAACATTTGTTATTTCTCATGAAACATAATATCAGAACAAACCTTCCTCTGTAATGCTTCTGTTACCGCCTCTTGGGCTTTAAAATGCGGATTACTATGATAATGAGTCCTTGAAGTTTAAAGAAAATCAATTATAATGCAAGTACAATCAACCTCATACTGGACTGGACTCCATAACATGCAATAGTTATGTGAATTTTATGATTATAGATCCAAATGAGAAGCAAAGTATTGAAAAGACTTTGATCTTCAACCTTGAGAAGCAAATACACTCAAGACTAAAGTGATTACATGTAAGATAGTATTGAGGAGAGTTTGATTGTTCACCCTTGCTTTCCATGAATCTCATCCAGTAACTTTTATTTTTTCTTTTATTGGGCACAACAATTATGTAATGCTATAAGTCATTTAATGAGAATATGGATCTATGCTTCTTTCTCATTATAGCTAGTAGACGAGTCATTTCACAAAAGAATAATTGTGCACACAAATAAACAATTATACGCACTTCACTTCATATTCATATAATCTTTATCATATAATTATAGTTTGGCTCACCTCATTTAGCGAACACACTCATTTTGCTACCTCATGATTATGCAAGATGTAAAGCATACAAGTGGGCAATAAGCATTATTCTTTGAGAATGCATGGACCTTGGCCCAGTGGATATGCATGGTGATATTTACTGCTTATAGCCATATCAGTTCTGCTACATATAACAAGCATCCTCCTTACGCTTAAATGGATTGTACAGTGGAACTCTCGGTTCATGTTACACTATTTTATTGAGTGAATGATCATCCAAATTCCAAACCAACCAACATCCCTCACCACCTCAAAAATTAAATCAAAAGTATAATAATTTAACACATGAATTTACAATTCATTTCCAAGCATTTGGAGTACCATCAAGATACAACTTCCTTTACAAACCAGGCAGAATTCCTATTACTCACACTCATGCATGATAATAAACACGGAAAGGTAAATGAGGATGAAAGGAACACAATAATAGTGAGCAATTAGAAGTCATTACATGATTAAAGTGACAGATCCGAACCACAACTTGCACCAAGCAGAAGACAGAAGCATGAATGCAAAAATTTGGGAAAACATATACAACGGGTTCAGTAAATTTGCATCAGTAGGCCAAATTTAGTCACCACATCAGGCTATTCTATCAATCTCTCCAAAAGTCTACCCTCAACAGACAAGAGATGATCTCGGTGATGTGGGAAGTTGGGTGCATGATGACCAACGAATAACTGATTCAGTCAACACAAGATCAAGTTGCTCACACTCGCCAAGTCCAATTGTCCGGTTTCTCTTGTTGTGAAATCCCAATGCCCTATGGCCATTTATTCCACCTGCCACTTTACCCTCTACAGGTTTGCAATCCATCTCTTTAACATCATGTCCAAAGCAAAGAGCAGAACCTGGTAGTAGAAGCAATAATAAATATAGACTAAAGGGCTGGAAAAAATGAAGATAGTTAAGTGAAAAAACTCTACATACCTCCAACAATTGCATTTACATTTGATGTGTTAGTTGGGAACTCTGATATACAACCCCTTTGCTCAAAAACAGAACTGGGGCTAAGAAATGCAAAGCTAGGCATTGAGGGAATTGAGGGAACAGTAGAAGAGAATTCCAAATCAATGGAATCACCTGAGCTCTGAAATGAAAATCCACCAGAGACAGTAAAAGGTGTCACTGGTTCCTCAAAAAAGGAAGAAAATGATGATTTGCACGTAAGTGTAGGCGATTGAGCACCACATATTGGAGATTCAGCACCAAAGCTGATGTCCTTATTCCTGGACATAAATGAGGTAGAGAATGAGTTGCTACCAACATCCCACTCTCCACAACTCCTGATTTTATGTTCACTTAGTTGTTTAGGGTTTGTTTGATTACTCTGCATCCAGTGATGATCTGCAAAGGGAAAGTTCAGGCGCAGTTTAGAAAACAGGTTTGTGGAATCTCATTTCTTCCTCTTTTTGGGGTACTTTGCTATACTGTGGTGGATAGAGAAGGGCTTCTATATATAACCGCCATCCATCTTAATTAATTTATGTGATTATTACACCATAGCAATAATTAAACCAGCATAAATAGTAGCTTTAAAGATCATTTAGAACAAGCATGTAACCAAAAAAAAAAAACCCAACAAAAACTGCTCACCGTGTAGGAAAAATCAAAATTCTTTATCTTGGAGGCAGTATAAAAACAAACCATGGTAAAAGAGAAATCTGGCTGTATGCCTGAGAAATTTGCTGGGTGATAGCAACCTCTTGTACAACAGTTTCAACTTTTGGACAAGCATATCATACGCGACCAAATAGTATATATTTTTTTACCGCAAGGTGTCCTCTTTTACTTTTAATGATTTTAAGTGTTATAGCATTGATTGGAGAATCCTTCTTCATAATAAAAACTAACAGAATCATCAGATCATGGGTCACCGAAGCAGAATAAAAATATACTCTTTACTTTGAAATAAGTTATTTTGTATACTAGTATTCTTTTTATGTTCAATCTTTGAATCAAGTTTCCCAATGGAAATACCATCATTGTGTCTCAACAGTTCCATTGGGGGGGGGGGGGGTTGCAGAATCAAACGTTATCAAATGTCAAACTTAGTAAATGACATCTTTTTATCAAAAGTAAATTTTAATGTTTTATCAATCTATTCATTAAACTTAAAGGTCTCATAAAGTAGATCAAGTCTACAAAATTTCACACAATTCAAAAATTAACTGATACCACATCTCCCCACATTATTTTAAAATATCAATAAATAGATACTACTGGATTACATATCTATGAATGTCAAAATTGTGCAAGATTCTATATACATGATAATCATAATAACATCACATGAATCAATGATTGCATTATGTAAATTAACTTTCGATAAAAAATTATAGGAGCCACCCCCCCCCCCTACACACACTTTCCCCCACCTACAGTTACGAATATGAATCAAATAGCTTCAGTAGATATAATAGGCATTAACAGCAAAAGGAAAACAGGTGTAGCTTACCTAAAACCTCCTTGGCAGTGAGCCTTCGAGAAGATTCTGTGCAGAGCATTCCCCTGATCAAATCCTTAGCTGACTTGGAAACATAATCCCATGGCTCAGATGGGAACCTCAGGTTAGCAGTTTTAACAGCTTCAAATATCCGTGACTTTGTCTTTCCCCAAAACGGAGGCATCCCACTCAGTAGAATGTAAAGAATAACCCCTGCACTCCAAACATCAGCAGCCTGGTTATATGCACCTGCCAGTACCTCTGGAGCTATGTAGAATGGACTACCAACTAATCCATGCAAACTCTGCCCTGCTTAAACAAACCCCAATTTTTGAAGATGAAAACCATGTATATTCAGTAGAGCAATGGAAATTGCAAGATTAATATCTGCAACAGAAGAAAAATAAGTACCAGGCTCAATGTAGGTTGCAAGCCCAAAGTCTGCCAATTTAATTGGAGATGAGGAAGATCTAGTTGTCAAGAGAATGTTTTCAGGCTTCAAATCTCTATGAACAACTCCATTTTCATGACAATACAAAACCATCTGCATGAGATGCCTGAAGAGTACCCTGGCTTCAGATTCAGGAAACCGACCATGCTTCTCTAACAGATGAAACAGCTCTCCTCCAGCACAAAGCTCCATCACCAAATGAACAAAATCTTCCTCTTCATAAACTGCCTTCAGATCAACAACATTTGGGTGCCCGGATAACCTAGACATTATCTCAATCTCAAGTTTAACACTCTTCTGATCATCCGAAGTAACCAACCTATCTTTAGCAATAGATTTGCATGCCAAAACCTCCCCGGTCAGCTTGTCAGAGCAAGTTCTTATGACACCAGACTGCCCCCAGCCCAACTGCTCTCCAAGAACGTATCGATCTTTCAAATTAGAGATTTGTTTTGCGTCTAATATGGTCTCTGTCAAGCTTGCTACTGTGTAACAATTGTATGAAGTTGAATGTTCACTGCCGCTGTTGCTGTTGGCAACAGCCATAACAACTAACAATGTTCTAACTCCTCAACAAACCCACAAAAATCACTAACAATATATCTATCCTAAAAATTCTCTTTCTGAAAGATCTGGTTCTGGAGAAAGTGATAAGCACCTAGACAAAATAAGATTACTAAACACCAATACCAAACTTCATCTACATTATACTCCCATCCACCGAAACCTCACTTCAGGTCAAAATCCTTGAAGTAACTCAACTTGGTTGATATTCGATACAGACATATACTGTTACTGTAAGCCACAGAATACCATGAATCAGAAAAGTAAAAGACAGAAAAGGCGAGAGTTTGACTCCTCAGCGAAAAGCATTTCTCCCCTTCTCCCCTTTCCAAGTCAGTTTATCTGCAAAAACAAAGAAAATGAGACTCCAATCATTCATTGCAAAATAGCTAAATATCTAATTGAGGTAAACATAAAAAAAATATATCCAGCATGTAGTTACTTCTGAATCAGATCAAAAGTTAATATAATTAAAGTGTTGAGCTCCCCCAGCTTTAAACTTGACAATACACTGAAAACAGATTCTAATAGACGTCTCCAATCAAAATTATCGATAAAGACATAAACGAGGAGAAGAAGAAAAAAAGATGAGCCAGAAGGCAAGAATCAAACAAAGTAAAAACAGCAGAAAGCCATGAAAATTCAGTCAACCCCAGATCCTGGAACAGCCGTCAAATCTTACCAGTAGGCAATAGAAAAGGAGAAGCATAATCTGAAAAAAGGAAAGTGAGAAAGAGGGACCTGACCTGAGGGAATGAAGAAGAAAGAGAGAAGAGGGGGAATCCGTTGGAGAAAGAGACGAACCCTCTCTCCTCGCCGAAGCTAAAACCCAAACGTTTGCTTCCTTTCTTTCGTTTTATTCTGTCTTTTCAAAATGGTAATGGACATTCCTTCCTCCTTTTGCCTGTTACAGTTTCGATTAATTATATTTTTAATCTTTATAATTTCATAAACTTATTTATTTTAAAATGTTTTATTTTTGTTTTATTATTAAAAACATATTTATTATTGGTTTTACAAAGTAGAAAAATCATGTTAGTAGAAAATTTCTCAAATTTATCATTTCACAGATCAACTAATAACTACATTTTAATCTAGTCAAAATATTAAATAACATTTTATAGATACTATTTTTCAATTATTTTTTACTTATATATTAATACATGTTTTTATGCATGTAATGTGAATTATAAAAAAAATGCATATAAGATGAAAGCTTATTTTCCTTTTATATGTCCTCCTGATTTTTAAGCAATAATTTATCCAACTAATAAAGATGCATTAAATTCTTCCTTTTTTACTATAATATTTTCATAAATATTATCAGAGAAATGTATTATATTGAAATTTTATAAAATTATTTTAACACGAAATTTTTTAATAAATTTAAAATATTTTATAGTAATATAATGATTTTCAAAAAAGTTTAAAATTTTTATAATCCAAAATTTTGTAATATGAAGTTTAATAAATTTACATTATAAAGATTTTATAATTTCAAAAGATTTTATATTTTAATGGATAATATGAATTTAAAAAAAAAACAATGCAATTAATTAGAAAAATAACATAAATTTAGTTCAATTAACATTATTACAATTGTATAGTTTAATAATCAACTTATATTTAGTTCAAATTTTAATTCTTTTATTGAGAATGCTATTTATGCTAGAGCCAAGTACAACGCTACAAGAAATCTTATAATTTCAACATAACTTTGGAGAATTGCTAATGTTAATTTTAATGGATTTACATGAATTTCTACTAAGCTCAAAACAAAACAAAAAAAAACGAATTTCCACATATCTTTAAAATAAATGGGTATATTTAAAAAATAGGTTATTTTTTTTTAATGTCTAATAATAATAATACAGAAGTTTACGTAAATTATCCAAATTTATCAATCCATTAAATCTCATTGTAAATGGTTATTTAAAATTGATGATTAAAACTACAATACAACATAAATTCATACATGACAAAGATATGAAATTATTAATATATTAATACGAAATATTTAATCAATAATTATATTTGTTTTATTTATTTCCTGTTCTTTCATGTGAAAATAATTAATTTTGAACAAAACAGATTTTATAAATTATGAGCTAAATCTGGCTTGTAATTATAAAGTCAAAATTTAGTCAAACTTATACATATATATGATTAAAAAGAAATGAAGAGTTTTTATAAATTTTTTTATTTGATTTAATTTTTAAAAAGAAAAGGGAAAGAAATGAAGAGAAGCAAATTCCTACCCATCTAAATTTGGTCCCCTTCAATATGGTAAAGATTTATAAGAGTATAAAAATATTTTTAATACAATGTATAAAATATTTTTACTTATTTTTAAAATTTTAAAATTATGATACAAAAATGGTTGATTTTTAAAATATATTTCTTCTCCTTGTGAACCAAAAAAAAAAAGTTATATCATCTCCTCTTTATTAAAATATTTCTCTTCTCTACGAAACAGAATTTTATAAAACATCTTCCTTTCATTTATTAAAATTCCTAAATATCAATCAATGATATAAAAAATAAAAATAAAAAAGACATCAGAAAGAGAAAGTTAAAAAGATTGTCGCTAAGATGACTCTTTTTGTAATATTGATTTACAAATTAATGTGATAAAATGGTTAACTTAAACATGCTCACAAACCTATCAATTAAGTAGACCATAGAATATATATACTAACTCGTCATATAAATAAATTTATGTTATCTCCATTGATAGTTCTAAATAAGATTCTTAAATATAAGAATTAATTAGTTCTTACAAATTTTATGGTATGATGATATGAATGTAATTAGATGTAAGAACAATTCTTACATATCAACTTCTAAGAATTGGTTCTTAAACAATAATTTTTATTATTATTCTAACTTAATTGCAAAACTCACATAAAAATAAATTAAGAATTCAAACTAAGTTTTTCTATCATAACAAAAATAAAAAATATTCTAAAATTCTATGTAGCATTGTACAACTCATGAAAGTTAAATTAATAATTAAAAAATATGCTCTACCATGAAAATGTTATTATCAATATCAATATCAAAATATATATATATATATATATATATATATATATAATAAATATTAAACAAGCTAACTTGTCGTGTCTAACTGTCTTTTAAAATGACTTAAAAGACTGACATTTTTCATTTAAATAAAAATTTTAAAAGTCTTAATACGATGTTATGTAAGTGAGATTATGGATCCCAACGGATAATTTATCCTGTTTATTTTAGAAGAGATAAATTAAGTGAAGCAATGAAAGCAAAGGACATGGTTCTGTGTTCTTATCCTAAATTAAAAGTGGAATAATGAGTGGCTACTTTCCATTAAGATAATAGATTCTGTTACAACTAAGTAAATACTAACTCGTGTAGCACAAGTAATTAGTGTTGCCAGATGAGATACGATTGTCAGTTCGATTGGATCAATGAGTGGCTGCCAGCAAAGAATGATTCCTAGCCTCGTTCCACTATTGTATAAAAGAATTATCTTGCACGCTTGCACTATGTTGTTTATCTCATGCCACGTTAGCTACATGTCTTGTGAGTTGTTATTTTATTTTATTTTTTTTGGTAGAGGATCTTCTGAGTTGTTATATAACATGTTTGTGTTATTGTTAAAGTTTTTAAACTTTCCGAAAGTACTTTCACAACATCCTTATTCATAGTACGTTTGGCATGTAAGGAATAACATTCCACTAATAAAATTTGAAAGTATCTTGTTTTATATATATGCTTCAACTATAATGAACTCATTCATTGTATGGAGAGAAAACACATTTTGTCACTTTCATCGATATTCACATTTTAAATTTGTTGTTATATACGACTATTCCAAATATATTTGATGGAAATTAATCTGAAAAGATATCCCATTTCATTAACCCTTTCATTAATATTTACTATGTCAGAGAATTCCTAAAAGATATCTCGAATAATTGAGTCGATCAAATCGGTTGGATCGACTAACAAATTGACGACCCTCTCAATCTGCTCGGTCAAAAGGGTGGGAATGCTTAATGTACCGATTTAACTCCCTAATTTTTTGAGACCCACTTTCCTAATCACGACCCAATTACGAATAGTATAAATATGGCTTCGGTGAGGTATGTAATCTAATTTGAACAATCGCATTTAATATATCAATCATTTATTACTTGAACATCAAAGTGTCTTTTGCAAGCACCTCTCCACCTCAAACTACATAGAGTGAAACGTGAAGACCTCAGTTCGAAGTTGAGATTGTAATAATTAAATGATTAGCAAGGTGTATCTCCTAATACAGTAACATTCACTTTTATTAGAATTGCATGAAAGTTAAAAATTAATGGTGATATTTCATATGCCAAGTCTAAGATTAATTTGTAAAAGAACTATACTATTTCAACGTCACAGAACAATTCATTGGGAGAGACTATGTGCATGTTTGTTTTATTATTTGGAAAAGTCAAACATCCGTTCAACCCAATCCACTCACACTCATACTTTTTCATTTGAGTGCATGAAAATATGTGTGGATGAGTATTCAAACACACCCTATATATATTACCTTATTTCTTGAACTCATCTTTAATTGCTGGCGTGCTGCCCTGCTTATTGTTGGATCATTGATCCGTTACCCGGGGAATAGTATGGAATCAAGCTTGTTCTTAGATCCAAAGGAAACCACTGCAATATCAGTATGTTAACAAACATGTTAATGCATTGCAAAGCTAATTCGATAGCATTCATCATGGTGTTTCTTTCTTCTTCTTTTCACATCATGAATTTTCTTATAATTAGGATTTGTGTTTAAATTAATCTCAAAATCTATTCATAAATAAGGATTGTTTTTCATTTTGACACACTCTAAATGTGGGACTTGGTGAAAGTTATCTATTCTTAGACACTTAGCCTATTTCTTAAACATGGTCAATGATGACCTCTCTTTAATATATCCATCTATACATATTCATTTTGAGTTCCTGTGCATGGGTGAGTCGTTGATTTATAATATATTTACAGCTAGCTATTGATTAAAAAAATTAATGATTAAAATTTAGATAAAATTAATTTTATATATAAAACAAAGTTTAAAATTAATTATAGTTTCAACTTTTCCAATAATAATTACAATACACTTTATCTTTTTAAATTGCATTATTGAAAAATCAAATAATAAAATTACTAACCTAATCTTACACTGTCTCATATTCAATCTTGTTTTGTGCTAAAATTCTCTAATCAGTGATAATTAAAATATTATAAATAAAATTAATTAATATATGATCCTGATCCAGTAAATTAAAAGATATCTGTGTTGGAAAAAAAATCATTTATGTATTTATATATAAATTTAATTGGGCATGTTCCAATATATCTTATTATCTTTCTAATTCTAGTTTGAAATCATTAAAATTTAACGTGATATAAAAGAAGAGTCTGTGAATTCAAAACTGATATTAACGATGAATTATAATAATAACAGCAAAATATTTAATTTCTCTTAATTTTTTTCGTAAATCAAAACATCCCTCTTAACTAAAAATTAAAAATCAATTCTGAGATACTAAGATCTATGTAAAAATTAAACATTTTCTAACAATTGTTTTTCTTTTTCATACACATGGATTAGGTATTGAAACTATAGTCGTATGTTTAAATCAATCACTCACAAGTATAACTAATCTTAAATTTCTTACAAGTTGATAAGCTAATTGATTAATTTATCAGTTCTTTAAATAATTTAACTAAGAAACCAATTTTAAAATAAGGACTTAAGACAAAATAATGACATTTATCTCATTCTTAAAGATAAGTAACATTAATTGTTCTACTTCAATTCAAAGGCTCACAAGTATTTTTTAATTACTTTAAAACCTAATGTTTAAGTTAAGGGAGATCATATCATAACAAGTATTAAGTAAAGAAGATAAAACAATAAAATTAAATAACAACTGAGACTGATAACTTAAAAAAAAAGTATATATGAGAATGAATTAAGTTACATCAAATCCCAACAAGGGAGAATTTATATATACATAAACATATGAACACTAAAAATGGTGAAGAAAAGAGAAAGTTTGATCTTGAAGGTTGAGGAACTTTTCAACTACCACACACTTTCCAAGAGAAGTTCTCTAATCATTTTTCTCAAATACCCTCCACTTAGGTCATAAAACCTTTTACCTCATCTCAATAATGATATGTCAACACTTATGACACTAAGCGTGAGTTTTCATGCTAACTATGAGACAAATATCAACTAGCACAAAACTCATATAACTATGGCACTAAGCATGGAACTAAAACTCTCCTTTGAAAGGTGGGTGTTAAGTGTGAGTTTTCACACTCAACATGAAACTTGAAATTACTCAAATGATTCTCTTTTAGAATGAGACTGAGTCATGTGAGATTGAGGTTGCGTGTGGAAACTTAACCAAAAACTTCTTCTTTCTTGAATCTTTACTAATTGTCATTTGCTTCTCTTAATATTTTTCAATCTTCTTCTCAACTATTAAATAAAGATAAAAAGCTTGTAAGTTATCTATTGATGTGAGTTAAAGACTAGAATTAATATTTTACAAATTTAAGTTAAATATTGGACAAATCAAGGTTTCAAGACAAGAAAAATTGAATAAATACTTCAAAATGTACCACAATATAAATATAAATATAAATAAATAAATAAATATATATATATATATCACTTATCATATATAATGTAAAAATTTTACACTCACGGTGCATGCACTACTAGAAAAAGCATCATTTTTCTGCGAATTTTCTTATAAAAAAATATTTGCAGATTTTTTTTGTAAATTTTCTTGCAATACTAATTTTACAAAAAAAATTTGCAAATTTATTTGCAAAAAATAATTTATAGAAATTTCTTACAAACTTTTTTTTATGAAAAATAATCTATAATTTTTTTCCAAATTTTGTTACAATTTTAACAATTATAAAAAAATTTCATGGTAAAAATTTGCAGAAAATGTAAAATTTTTATCTTGTTTCTTGGGAATTTTCTTGTAAAAATAAATTTGTAAGTAATGTTTACTAAATGGTAAAAAAACTTCGCAAGTAATTATTCTTACAAATTTTCTTGCCAATTTTAATCCACAAGAAAAATAAAAAATATATATAAATTTATAAGTTTAAGAATCAAAAGATTTTCCTTAAGGCCCACATAGATTAGAAATAAAATAATTAAAGCGTATATAAGTTGGGGGCAACACTCACCTTACAAGTTGATTTTGTATGGTTGAGTTTTAGATCTATAACTTATATCTAAGAGTTTAAAAGGTTATCTATCACATGTTAAAGATGTGGATGAATTTATTGTAAATATTTAAAAGTTGACTAATTATTAATAATAATCTAGAAAATTTTCTTGCGAATTTTAATATATTATCTAGGAAGGTATTATCTTCAAATCAAATATAATTTCCCCCAATTTGTGCATAATTTTTATTAAAAAAATTAACCAACAACAAAGATACTAAAAGTCTAAAACGATGATGTAAAAACCCTATAGCATAAATTGGATGTAGAAGAATCATTTTGGCCGCTAACTTTTGACGTAACGCAATGGTATTTGGCATATGGTGTGTTTTAGACTTTAGTCACTTTAGAGGAGATAATTTGATCGCCGAATTTCATATTTCTCTCTTTCTTAAATACTTTAGAGGAGATAATTTGATCGCCGAATTTCATATTTCTCTCTTTCTTAAATACCCACGTTTTCTCTTTTTCTTTAATTTTCTGATTTTATTAGAAGTCGAAGTAAATCATTTTAACTGAAAGTCGTTTGTAAAAATGATATAATCACCTAACACCTGAGTTTTTTAATCAATATTAAAAGTTAATCTTTGACTTAACATTAAATTGTGACTTAAAAATATATATTTTTTAAAAAAATATGAGTCAATGGAGTGATATCTCCTTGATATAAAAAAATCATTAATTTTAAATGCTAAATTAATTGAAATAATTTAATTTATAAGTTAAAATTAATGTATGCACAAATTAAAAATAAGACTTTTGAAAAGCTAATAGGAGGAACTTTTAAAAACTTTAACTTATATATAATGTAATTTGAATTTACAGAGAAGTTTATTTTATTTTTTCTCCGTTAAATATTTTTGGAAAAAATTACTGAACATATTTATATATATATATAT